GCTCCACCGCCAGCTACCAGGTCCTGAGGTTACCTGCTCCAGAAGGCCCTGAGGTCATGCATGGGGAGGGCCGGCAGCAGCCGCACGGCCCAGGCAACCACCCACACGGGCTGGAAACGGTGGGAGAGGGCAGAACGGCAGGAGGCCCTGCCATGCCAGCCCTCCTTGGCTGGCCACCCGAGGGAGAGTGCGACAAGTGGCAGGCATCCCAGTGAGTGGACAGAACGAGCACCGGGAAGGGCAGGCTGGGAAGGCGGATGCACAGATGGGCCCCGCACGGCTGCCACCAATCTGCTCTCGGGGGGAGGGAAGCAAGTGAAGAAATAAAGTGACCACCCTTCTGCAGAGTGCTGGCAGGAGCTGGAAAGGCAAACGTGAGCCCCAGCCCCTCCCCCGTCATCACCAGGTCCCCTTGGTCCAGCAGCAAGACCTGGCTTCTGCCAACACGAGACCCCAGCACACTGCCCCTGGTCTGGGCTCTCTTTCAGCCCGTGGGACAGCCTCATAATGATGAAGACTCCCTCCCCCCCAAGGAATGTTGGGTTTCTGGCTTCTCACTGTCCCTGGGGCCCTTGCAGAGCTCAGCCGGCCACTTCTCTGCACCTGCCAGGCGTCCCAATTATTAACTCAGCCTCCCCAGATGCTGCTGGGGGTAGTGAGGCAGCCGCCCCCCACCCCAGCAGTGGCAGGGCCTGAAGCCCGCACCCTCTTCCGGAAGGGGCGCTGGGGACCTGGCATTGAAGAAAAATCCCACCTTTTCTCCTTGACTGCTGGAGGGAGGGGGCAGGAGCAGCCAGGCCTCCCCAGGCAGCCAGATCTGCTCCAGCCCTGACAGGGACAGAGAACTCAGGGAACTGGGGGCGCCCCCCACACCAAGGCCCCTGATATGGGCACGCGGCAGCCTCTGACTTTCTATTAACTGCGAGTTAATCTGAGTTACGTAACTGCCACTCCCCACTCAGCGGCCTTATGACTCACCGACTCCTTTGAGTTCCTGGAAGGGGGTCTTAGAGAGTCAGTGGGCCCCGAGGCTTGTCGGCTCCAGCTCCAGCAAGCCCCGGCTCCTGCCTCCCGCTCGTGTCTGACTGGCATCGGGCAGGAGAAACCCTCTCGAGCCAGACTTCAAACACGGAAATCTAGATCAAGGATATATTTGGCTTTCCAAGCTAATCTTTACATCAATTTGGTCTCTACTGACTTGTAGCCCTTTGAAGAAAACTTGGCAACCGCCCATATGGAAAGGCGATGACTCTTATGTAACCCCAGACAGGAGCCCCTGGGCTCTGGAAGGTGCGGCAGCCCCGGGTGGGTGGGGCCTGCTGTTTACCCACGGCGTGGTGGCCTGGGAAGCGGCTTCTATCGACATGCCCAGGCAGTGGAGTTTGCCCGGGAGAAGGCCCGGGAAGTAAAGGCATCAGGATGCAGGCCAGCCCACCTGTGCCAGAACATCCTGCTGGCACCCAGGCCAGTAGGCTGGGGGACGACAAGGCCAGGCTGGGTGACCACCACTGCCACGGACACCTGAACCACCCCAGTGTAGAGGATGCAGGTCACAGTGGGGACATGGCTGTTCCCTCTCTGGAACCCTGGAGCCAGACGCCTCGGGGAGGCCTGGACCTGTCTCCACTTGTGAGCTGGCTGGCCCTGCTCCCTGCGTACCGCCCTCTTGGACGCACAGAAGAAAAGGAAACAGGTGCTGACAGTAAACCAACAGAAGGGCGGGGAGGAGCCCGCCGGCCCCTTCTCCACTTGGACTGTGGCTCCCCTGGGTGGGCGTGGCAGGAGGGGAGGGGGACTTGCCCCAGTGCTGGGAAGATCTGAGCTGCCTCCCCGAATGGCCCTTCGTTCCAGCGTCACTGTCCCCAGTGAGCATCCCCGCCGCTGACACGCGATGGATTCCGGCTGCAATCAATTTGGTAGCAGCAGCTGGAAATGGGCACGAGCCAGGTTTCACCAGGAGGGCGATGTCTGTGCACAGAGCGTCTGACTCTGTCCGTCCTCTTGAAGCCTCCGCACGGCCCGGCTGCTGGACTTCAGAGGCGGGGATGGTGGCAGCCCACCCGCTGGGTCCGGGTGGTGAGGCCCGAACATGGTACCGCGGCGCTTGGCCAGAGCTCGGGGGACTGCGAAACACCTCATGGAGAAAGGGAGCCACATGACTTTGTTACACACCCACCCCGGAGCGGACACAAACACCCGGGGCCTCGGTGGGTGGGAGAACGGGCAGAGCGGCCCTCAGGAGCCCGGGCTGGGAAGCAGCAGGGGCGCTGGCTGGCCGTGGCACGCCAGAGCACTCCTAGCAAACGCCTCGCACACTCCCAGCCCTGACGGAGCTGCGGTGCCGTGGGCTGCAGGCTCCGAGGCCACTTGAACGCCAGGCAGCTGGACTGAGCTGCGTGCTGAGTAAGCACCCCTGCGAGCCGGGCCCAGCGCTCGTTCATGCCTGAGCTCTAGAGCAGCTGGTCCAGAGACCAGGCTGCCTTCAAGAGATACCTTTATCCATGCTTGGGGCTTTGATACAACTCCCACCAAAAAGGCATGAAAACAGCTCCGTGAGACAGAAATCTGTTTCTGCCTCGTGAGAAGAAAAGGCTCCATGCACAGGTCCCGTCACACACAGCAGCAAAAAACCCAGCCCGGACCTTGTCTCTCAGGGGCCCGAGCAGAGGGCTTGTCTCTCAGGCAATGCTCCCAGCTGCCTTCCACAGACCCGGGCTCCGCGTTCTTCATCTGCCTGAGAAGTCAGGTTTGAAGCCGGGGAGTGGGAGGTGCGGGGCTCACCCTGGGAGCTACAGAGTGGCTTGTAAGCAAAGCTGACGAGCTTTCTCCCAGGAAGAAGTGCATTTCCAGGGCTGGGCAAGCAGTCCTGGCTCCATCACCGTTACCCTTGCCTGGTGTGAGGGGGGAACAGCACAGACCCTCCCGGCAAGACACCTCTGCTGGCCAGGGGATGGCTTTCACAGACATGACAGAGCTCTCTCCTGTCAGCCTCCTAGACAGGTGATAGCTCGTCCTTAGAGGCACACTTACAGAAAATCTCTTGGGCTAACACTGAAGAGAAAAAAAAAAAAAAAAAGCTAAAGGTCAAACTTCAAAATCACCAACAGAACTATTTCCTACAGCAAAATCCCAAGGAGCTCTCACTGAGGGATGCTTTAGAGAACTGTTCTCGTGAATTCTGAACCAACAGAGGTTTCCTTCCATGGTATTTACTCTTCTCTTCCCCTTACCAAAATGTACTAATCTTTCAATCTAGCAACTTCGTAATAAAAAACAAAAGAAAAACCCACGGAACTTGCCAGCAGTCAGTCAGAAATCAGGCAGCCAGAAAGTAGCTCAGGAAGAAGCATCTGGGAGCCAAAGGTGCACCCAGAGCCAGGGCGGGGACCCCCAGATCTTTCCCGAGGCCCTCTGGGGCTGGCCAAGCCTTGAGAGGCGGATGGCAGGACGCCGGGAGGGGTCACCAAGCGAGGCGGCCCTCGCTCCATTTTGTCTGCGTCCCAGAACAGGAGCCTAAACCTTATCTAGTCCAAGCACACGGTATCGATTCAGGACGCGCCAATACCCAACAGATGTGCTCCACCATTAACCTTGTAAAGCCCACGCTGGCAAACAAGATCCAGCCACCAGGAGAAGGAACGCCACTTTCCAGAAAAAGGCTGATAATAACATTTGACAATTTTCACGCGATGTTTTAAAGTCTTTACCCCCCGGGACGGGGGACTGTCTCATAAATCAAAGGCTGCTAGAGAACGCGTGGTGCCTCTGCTTCCGATTTCTCAAAATCAGGACGCGCACTTGAGTCTCTACCGCTCACTCCCCCCAGCTCCGATGGGGCGGCGTTGGGGCGGCGCAGGCAGCCGCTCCAGTACCTCGCGGCCCTTTCCTCCCCAGCACGGGAGCGCAGTGCATCCCAGTGGACAAACTTGAGAACCGCACCGCTTTCTCCGCCTCCGCCTATGTCCTCCTTGCTTTGCCTTGCAACCCGGGACCCAAAAACGCACCAGCTCCGCGAAGCCCCCCACTCCCCGCTCCGCCCCACCGGCAGGCGGGCGACGGTCTGCAAGCAGCCTGCCCCGCCAAGGGGACAGCTACGCACGACTGGGCTTTAAGCCGCCCCTGGCACGGATTGAAAGCCCGAGCTCCACAGCAAGCGGGCAAAGTTTGCCGGAAAGGGTCTTCCTGTGTACCCCTGCCGCGAGTTCCAGGCTCGACCCCCTGGCTCCAGCTGGCCTGGAGTCTGGACTCAGACAAGCCCCGGGGCGCTCCCGCGGGTGTTTGCGTGCGTGGGTGGGTAGGGGGTGTCCGCCCGAGCTCCCCCAGAGGCCCAGCGTCTCCCGCCCCAGCTGCCCGCCAGCTGTGCGCGCCGGTCGGGCCCAGAGGTCACCGGCAAACAGCTGGATAGGCAGCTGGGAGCCCGGGAGGCCCCTGCTCAGCCCTGGGGCCCCGAGGAAGGGGAAGGGAGGGCGGAGTGGCTGTTTGATTTTGGTTCCCTCCAATTCCGCCTTCCAAGCTCTCGCCGGGAGCCGGGAGCCGCGAGCCGGCAGCCGGGAGCCGGGAGCCGGCAGCCGGGAGCCGGCAGCTGGGAGCCGGGGGAGCTCTAGCTTTCTCCGGCAGCCTCGGCCCCCGCCCTGGGTCCACGGCCCGCCGGGCCCCGGGGAGGAGGCGCGCCGGGGCGGCAGGCCAGGACACTGCGCTGCTGGCGCCGGGAGCCGCGGACTCGCCGGGCCAGCCCCACCGCACGGGGAGCTGAGGCGGGCGCCCCTGGCCCGACCCAGACGCGCGCAGCCCGGGAGAGCCGGCCGCTCCCTCCGGGGCCGCGGAGCTCCAAGCTCCGGACTGGCACCCCGACCGAGCTCCTGGGGCCCCTCCTGGCAGCTAGCGGGGAGCGGGGAGGGGTCCCTTTATTTGCAACGTTGAGGAGAGCGCCGCTCCAGCCCAGCCCGGCACCCACGCACCCACGCACCCACACGCACCCCGGCGCTGGCCGGGTCGCTCACCTGAGTCCTAAAAGCTGTTGAATCCACATGGTCACGTTTCGGGGAGCGGAGCCTCAGACCTTGCTCGCCCCAGCCATCTGCGCGGCGCCCGCGCCCGCTCGCTTCCGTCCCACGGCGCCGGTCTCCGGCTCTCCGTCTGCCGCCGCCCGCCGCCCGCCGCCCGCCGGCCGCGGGGCGCAGAGCGAGTCAGAGCACGGCCGCGCGGGGCTCCATGCCGGCCGGCGCGCCGCCGCCGTTGGGGCGCATGGCTCAGGCGGGGCGGCCCGCGGGGGCGCACATCCTCCGGCCGGGGCGCGGGGCTCGCCGCCCCTCCGGGGGCGAGCCAGCGAAGGCGGCAGCGAGGCGGGGGCGCCCACGGCCGGCCCGGGAGGGGCGCGCTCCGGCGCTGCGGCCGCGAGGTGAGAGTCGGAGGAGACGCGGCTTCGCCCTCCGGGGCGGTGGGGAGGGAGGCCGGGCGGCGCCGCCGCGCACGGTGCGTGTCTCGTGGCGCGGCTCTCGCCTCCGGTCCGAGCCCCGCGCCGAGGGGGCGGCGCGGTCCGGGGGTGCGGGCGGCGGCGACGCGGAAGGACGCGGGTCGCCTCCGCGCGGCGCCAGGTCAGGGGGCTCTGCCGGGGGTGCGCCGCCGGCCGGCACCTCTCAAGTTGGCCGGGGGCTCCGTCTGAGCGCTCGCTCTGCAGACGGCCGCGGCGCCGGAGGCCGGCAGGAGGCGGGCGCGGGAGGCGCGCGGGGCGAGGGCGCCGTGGAGCGCGGGGCGTGGGGACGCGCGGCGGCGGCGCCGCGCCGAGGAGGCGCGCGGGGATCCCGGGGCCCCGCCGCCCGCGCCCACCGCGCCCGCCGCAGAGCCTCCCGCGCCGCTCGGCCACCTCCCTCCGCGCGTCTGCCTCTCCGCGCGCTCGCCCCCGCCTCCCCGAGCGGGTCCCAACTCCGCCCGCCTGGCCCGGCTCACGTCACCCGCCTTCCCCGCCCCTCGAACTGGAGCCCGAGCCCCCTGCCCGGCGCCGGCTGCCGCTCTCTGCCCCGCCTCACCGCGCGGAGCTGTGCCCGGCCCCGGCGACACATCAGGCGGGGTCCCCGGCCGCCCTTTACCCATCCCCGGCCTCGTCCCAGTCCCCACCTTGGGAAAGGCTCGGGAGAGGCCGCGGGCTCGGATTGGACCGCCGGGCGCCGCCGGATGGTGTTGCCACGGTAACCGGATGGCCTGCGAAGCAGTTTGAGGTTCCGACCCATTTACGGGTGCGCCCGGTGGACCTGGAGAGCTAATTTGGGGAGGGGGCGTTCCTGACGGAGCACTGGCGGTGGGGGGCGCCTGGAGCGAGAAGCTGCGCAGAAAGTTTCCTCCAGGCGGAGCTGCACCAGAGGCGCCGCCAGAGTCGGGGATGCAGGAGGGTCTGCGGCTAGGGGTCCCTCTCTTCCCGCCTCCTCGCCTCCCCCCTCCGCCCCCCCGCCTTGAGCCCTGGCGGAAGAAGCCCCTGCGTTCCAGGTCAGAGCTCAGCACTTTCTGCCCCAGCCCAGGCCGGACCTGAATGTCCAGGCTCCCGCAACCTCTGGGGCTGAGCGTCAGGCAGCAACTGCTGCTCGGCCAGGCCCTCGATCCCGAGGTGTCGTGGAGAGTTCCGAGTCCTCGGCCTCCCAGACCCCGTCGTAGCGAGTAACCCGGCCTCATTCCCATCCCACGACTTCCCCTTGCCTTCCTGGTGAGGCTGTATTTGCTGGACAGTGGCTGGAGGAGGAAGGGCCCTCGCTGCTGGCCTTTCACTGAGAGAACTGACCTACAGTGAACCGCTCTGCCAAAGGCCAGACGTGGTCTGCGCCCCTGGGAAACCACCCGCAAAGCCCTGGGTATCCACTCGGTGCCCCTGAAAGCCCTGCAGCATCGCAGGCCTTCGGGGTCACCTGCCACAGCTCTTCTGTGGCCACCGTGGAAGCCGGTCCTGGGAGCGGAAGGAAGGTTAACTAATACCAGACCTGACCCACGCAGTGGCCTCCCTCAGCCAAGCTCCGGAACTCCCCCCAGTCTTGTCAGCACAGACACCCCACTTTACTGGTGGGGCCTCCCCGAGAAGGCGCAGCTGGTGGGGGGGGCAGATCGGTCCTGTGTGTCTGGGACTTGGACTCCCAGGCAGGCCCTTCATCCCTGGGCTTCGGGTCTTGAAAGCAGGAGCCTGCTGGGCCCAGACAGCAGGTGTGGGTGACCGGCCTCCCCACGAAGATCCCAGAGGGCAGAGGCAGGAGGCGAGGACCTGTGGTGGCAAGAACCCAAGGTTTGCCATGAGCACACCAGCCAGTGCTGTTTACTCACTGAGGGGGCCGGGGTGCCTGCTCTAACTCTCCGACCTTGTTTCCTTCTCTGCAAAATGGGTTTCATTTTCGTGGGGAGTAAATGATGGGGCCTCACACACAGTGTCACTATTAGGGTTCAAAGACGCACCAGGCTGAGTCGGCACTTTGGCTGCCTGGCCCTTCCTGGGTGGTCTTCCCCGGGAGCCTTCTCCCTGAAGAGTTGGGGGAACAGAGCCCACCAAGGGGGACCGGGAGGTGCTGGGCCCAGGATAGTCAGGGGAGAAGGGGGTGCCCACAGTGCTGCCACCTAGCGGGACACAGTGGGGGTGCTGCAGGAGGGAGACCCTTTCAGGAGCCAGAATAACCCTCTAGTAGGCCCCTGGCCAGAAGGTCTGGGGGTGGGGGAAGGTCCTGATCCCCTCAGTTCCAGGGACCCCTTCAGCAGCCGTGTGCAAAATGGGGACCTTGTCTCAGAAGGTTCATAAACGCATTCGCTAAAATGCACTAAGAAGTGTTATTAGGAAGTCAATTATATTGCAATGCGTCACCAAACTATTAAAACAAATTTTTGAAACAGCAATGTACGTCCTTTAATATTATGTCAAGTAATGAGTGGGTGTATCCACAGCATTGCACGATTTAGAAGGAGAGACACGCACCAATGATATTTTGAGACATCCTAAATGTCGGTCACGTGATGGGGGATGCCGGCAGGTTCTGGGTTTGAGAGCAGGTCCCAGGGACCTCGTGCCCCTGCGGCCTGTTGCCTGCCCTTGTAATGGAAGGAAATCCTGGATTTCAGTTGGAATTTGCAAGAATAAACATATCATTTTTCCCCACCCATGTCTAAAGACCCCTTGGGTTCTACCCACGTAACCTGGGGGTCCCCGGACCGCAGTATGACCCCTGGCTAAAGAGGACAGTGCCCCGAAAACAGCAAGGGAGGAAGCTGGCAGAGGTAGCGGAGGACACAGTCGGTGTTCACCAAGTGAGGGCAGGCTCTGCCATCTCTGCAGACAGGGGCATCCCTCCAACCCCCAGGCCCCAGCACGTCAGTAAGGACTGGAGCACACTCAAGTTGTTTTCCCTCTGGGCTCTGATAACTATGGGCACAGCTCCCTCCAGAGAAAGCACCCACCTGGTATTCTGTTTGTTTTTGTATTTTTCTCTTGATGAAAACATTGTCGTTTTTTACATGCTGTAAAATAATAAAGCCAGGACTTCTATGTCACCATTAATGTAACTGATTTTCTGTACTTGGAGACCATCTCACATTTCTGACCTTTTCATTTTCCTCCTCTCTTGGGAATTGGGAGGGTGGGCGGACGTCATCCCACACCCAACACAGACTCTCTCTCTCTCTCTCTCTCTCTTTCTCTCTCTCTCTCTCTCACACACACACACACACACACACACACACAGGCCTCCAGGCTTCAGCAAGTGCAAAAGGGAAGTTCTCAGTGGAAGCCGCTCTGGAAGGCTCTCCCGGCCCCCGCCCCAGGAGCAAGCCCCACCCTGAAACCTTAGAATCAGCTTGCAGCCCACTGGTCTTTTGGAGCCCCTTGCCTCTGCCCTGCCCTGCCCTATTTTCCCAACCAAGGAGCGGCTGACCCCCTGCAGGGGTCCTCTCTGAAGCTCTCTTAGGCCATTTACCTAATGGCCTTCACACAGTCGACTATTTTTAAAACCCATCCAAAGCCAAATTGAGATGGCATTGTTCATTTTTCTCCCAAGGAGGTAAATGTGTCTTAAGCATGACATTTGATTAAGTGGCTAAGTTTGTGATTTTAAATGGAAGGAAAAATGCTGATTAAAATTATTATAAGTTTCTTTAAAGCATTCACACTACTACTTCTCTGCCCCCTGCCTTACTCTCTCCCCCACACAAGAAAACTTGCCTGTGGTCGGGTGGAGGAGGGGAAGGAATTCCAGGTCACTTTGCCTTCTGGGGGAGGGGAGGTGCCCAGGCTGCAGAATCCCTCCCCTGTCCTCTATGCCGTTCCCCAGGTGAGACTTGCACACAGCTGCAAACTCCAGACGGGTGCGAGAGCGAGGCCGCCATGTCAGGGGCCAGGGAGAGAAGCCGAGACTCCCGCAGACAAAATGACTCACAGGACAGTCAGCCCAGCCCAGGGACAGCAAGAGAAAAATGCCAAGTCTCTCCGGTCCATTCAAACGGGCTTGTGTATCTGAAAGAGGAACAGTTGCTTCCTCCGCTCGTTCTGTGCAAGTGATGGACTGTGAAGGCAGGTGGGAAAGGGACTGCCTGAGGATTTGAACTGGCCTGGGATGAAGGGAAAAACCCCACTTCAAGGCTTTTGGGGATTCACTGTGATGACAGGTCGGCTTCTATTTAGATGGGCAAAGATGAGGAGAAACAGGAGAAAGACTAATTTGCAAATTGGAGTGACCATTTGCACACAGTCTCTTGGCCCTGTGGAGTCTGGAGATTGGGGGCCTGCAGGTGGAGAGAAGAAAGAAGGTACAGAGGTGGGCAGAGGCATGTAGGGAAGCTGGTCAGGGACTGGGGTGACCCCAGGAGGGGCATAGTGCCCAGCTGAGTCCTCACATTTTCTTGTAACTATGGCTGAGACCAAAGTCTGAGGGTTTTGTCCCAGGCTGTGGCTCTGCTCCGAGGCAGTTGTGTTCCTGCTAAAGGTATGTCAAGGAGTGATGGAAGGGGTGGTCTCTGCTGTGGGGCAGGTGAGGGTTGGGAAGAGGCAGCCAGCGGGCCAGTGGAGCCAGAAGATCTGAGGAAAATCCACTTCCTCTCTCATACTCCAGAAGACACTGGGCCTTGGGAGGGAGAGGCAAGAGTGCTGGACTTCACAACGTACTAGGGATGGGGCTCATTTGGATATTAAGGGAAAGAGGTGAGGGGAGATCAGGGACATGGGAGATCAGACCCTTGGTTGTTCTGGAGGATGAGTCCCTCTCTGGCACCCAAATT